AAATGAGTTTTTTTAAAATATTTTAAACTACATCACGCTGTTTTTGTTTGATTATATGCTTCTGAAAATTATTGTTATTCAGTTACAGATAAAGATAAAGATGATCATAACCAATTATTACTATATCATTAATGATGACTGCGCTGATAATGTACCAACAGTGTCCAATGTGATGTTATTTTTCGGATAAGAAAAGTTTTACTGCTAATACCATTACTTAACATCTATTACCATTTCCTATTACTGTATTCATTACCTCATTTAAAAGTATAAGTACCTGATTATATCATGTACAACCTTCATCATGTTCGTACATATATACCCCTGCTTACAGTAGTATTATACTTGCAAGGCAATACTGAAGATGAACAAATACAGTGTGTACGAATAAGTAATGAAACACAACTACAATAAACTGGACGAACCAAACTATTTCTTAATTTCGTCCTCCTCCCCTGCTACGCTTCATCACTAGTCCAAACACTTCACTAGTGAGCAAATGGGGCTGTCTTAATGGAGTTGGTAATGGAGTGATTAAACACTTGGAAGTGACCATGGTTCATGATCAATAAAAAAACTAAAAAAAAAACGAAAAAAAACTGATCAATGATGCTTTGGGTCCGTCATTAAAGGGGATTAATGGAGAGCTGTGGTTGGCGAGTGCGATGACCAGGGCATATGGCGGCAGCAGATGGTCCTGGCGATCTCTTAATAAGCTTTGCAATCCTTTCCGGGGAAAACATACATCTGATTACCACCGAGAACGAAGACATAACAAGGTTCTTCGGGTGATTTTCCGCGCAGGAAGTATATCAACGCAAGTCAATACATTTTTCTTATCTTCCCTTATAGCGACACGGCAGCGCTCGGCCACATGACAAGCAGGTCGGTCGGGCGAGCGTCCAGGCCGTGTCATCTCTCTCCCCTCGCCCATTCAGGCCCTGTCTGAGCCTCCCCTCGCTCCCCGGCATTGTTTACCCTCACCTCGCGCACACTAATGTATAAAAATGATAAAACGTCCCACCTCGCGCCTAAAAACCTCCCATTGTATTCATTAGTTTCCCCTTCCCTCCGGGGACTTCGTTTTCCGTGCGAGTGTCCGAATGGTCAAAAGTTTCCAACTTTCCGAGAAGACATTTCCAGATCGTATCCCATTTTCTTCGCATTATCACATGACAGACGTCTTGGAACGCGACGCACTTCTTCCCAGACGCATTATCAACTAATTCCTTTCTATCTAGTCGGCGATATAATTATTTTCCTCGGAGATGGCAGAGGGCAATCGCACCAACTCTAACTCGGTCGCCGTCCGCGCCGCGTCCTATCCACCTTAAACCGCGCCGGCAAATCCTCCCTAATAACGCCCTTCCGACAGGAACGCACAGAGCCGTAAGTCCCAGCGCATCGGGGCGAGGGACAGCGCCTTCATTAAAAGTCCACATTACCGACTAAACTATCGATGCAGCCATTGTATCCTGCTGGACATAAGGAGAGTAAAATATGAGAGCAAAGAAGGATATGTGTGTGCCTCTCGAGACCCCGTTGAGTGGGACATCAGGCCGCTACACTTACTTAGGCGATTGTTTGCAAGTTTCCTTCGTGGCTGAGGCTTCAGTGAACCAAGTACGTTCGCGCTCCTTAGTGTATTGGTTTTCGAAACTCATTGTTCGAGGAATTTCCAGCAGGGTAACGCATCCATTGGGGAATAAGCTATATAATTTATATTCATGAGTCGATAGCGATTACCTTTTTCGTATAAAAAAGTTTGGCCGCTGCAGTTATTAATAATTCCGAGGGAAATCGCTGAGTCACGCAGATATTGATTTTTGACACAGCGACTGAAATTCCCATGGGTTTGAACTGATCAAGTATAATTATGCCTTAAATAACAAATAGATATTAATGGTAATTCTGGTCTTTATCTTCTGATGCCTTCCTGGGCACTGACCAGATTTTCAATAAAGAGAGATGGTCTTCATTTAGTGCCATTTTAGCTGTTTTAGGTTATGTTGTAAAAATATGCAAAACTACATTACTCACAGGCAGGTAGAATATATATGTATTTGTATTTGTATGTGGTGTGTGTGTGTGTGTGTGTGTGTGTGTGTGTGTGTGTGTGTGTGTGTGTGTGTGTGTGTGTGTGTGTGTGTGTGTGTGTGTGTGTATGTGTGCAGATATATTTATTTATGCACCTATATCTATATAAATAAATATATAAACAAATAAATAAATCGATAATTTAATTAATGTGTGTGTGTGTAAAAGTATGTCCGTATCCATATACACGTAGCGAGAGAAAAGAAAGAAGCACACACATACATCCATCCATCTATCTAACCACGAGTACGAACATGCGCGTACAAAAATAAGACTTTGTTTCACCTTTATAATATTCTCTCTGAATCGTCCGTATATCAAATTACTCGCAGTCTTCGCCAGCAATGGAGTTAATTCCACTTTTTTCCCCCAAACTCGCCTATTCATGCATTCTTATCTTCCA